TTTAGGGTTTAGGTAGTATTAGGGAGACCCCTCAAAGGGGACCCTTCTGAACCCTACTTCTGGTTCTCTTAAAACGGACCTTGTTGAGAGGGTCTATATCCCCAAGGGTCCCCCTAATCCTGGCTCCCATTTAGAGGGCTTAGATGGTTTAGGGTTTAGAGGGCTTAGATGGTTTAGGGTTTAGAGGGCTTAGATGGTTTAGGGTTTAGGGTTGAGGGTTGAGGGCTTAGATGGTTTAGGGTTTAGGCTTTAGAGGGCTTAGATGGTTTAGGGTTGAGGGGTTTGATGGTTTAGGGTTTAGGGTTTAGAGGGCTTAGATGGTTTAGGGTTTAGGGCTGAGGGGTTAGATGGTTTAGGGTTTAGGGTTCAGAGGGTTTAGATGGTTTAGATGGTTTAGGGTTTAGGGTTGAGGGGTTGGATGGTTTAGAGTTTAGGGCTGAGGGTTCAGATGGTTTCGGGTTGAGTGTTGCGGGTTGAGGGTTGAGGGTTTTGATGGTTGAGGCTGAGGGTTTAGGGCTTAGGGTTTAGATGTTCTTTTCTTGGTTCCGGCGAAGGAACTTAGTTCAACCCTATATGCCATGGATCCGCATTATATTACTCCTCTTTTCTGGACTCCTAGATAAAATTACCCTATACTATAAAAGGGGGCCCCCTTTTTTCCAGGGTGCTTTGGATCCCAGGTTTTTGTTAAGGGATTTAATTCAAGTTGCCATACTAGCCCGAAGCCCTTAGCCCCTAAACCCCATCCCAGTTTTCGTACAAGGAGTACTAAAAGGAGGAGATTGTTATAAGGAGTACTACAGGGGGGTGATATAGGGACTACTGCAAGGGTTGTTGCAAGGAGTACTGTAAGGACGAGTAGACGGAGAATTATACATACGATTACTATCAGGAGCACAGAAAGGGTTGTTATGGTGCCCTCTGGGGTCGATACTATATGGTGCAATATAGGAAGTACTGAGTACATTTAAGGGCTCGACAAAGTTTACAACCCTAGAAGGGGTGTTATTTGGGGTCGACAAGGTTTCGATGAGGATTTAGGGCCTGGTATCTCCTTGGGAGTGATTGAAACCTCCGAAGGAGAGCCCTTGGGTCTCTTTGGGGTGGTCCCAACAGTGTCAGGACTCAGCTTCTGTCGCAGCCATAGACGAGCCTCGATCCTCAACCCGCCGGCATAAGCTCACCCTGGAAGAAACTAAGACAAGAATGCAGCTCGTTTTCTGAAGCACCTATATAGTCGAATGTATGCAGGGTTGCTATATTGGGAACCACCGTTTGCATTTGGGAAAGTATCCCCCGTAGCTGTATCTAGGGCCCTTTGGGACAATCTCTCAGTCTTTCAGCCAGGAGAATCCGGACAGTTGGGAGGAAGCTGGCCATGATCCTCTGACGCGCATACAGGTTGTGAGCAAGTTGGATTGAGGGCGTCACTGTGTCAATCTATCGCGCGGCAAAGTTTGCCATTATCCTACCGTTGTTGAAGGCACTAGAATACTATCATTGACTGCTACCAGCTCCGACTAGATCGAATATGTATCATATAATGATGCATGATGCGATGTATACTGCGATGTATATGTATAACATAACTCATTATGTGGTATGTACTAGTTCTAAAAATGTATGAGTAACCGTATCATGATGTAATGTGATGTTGCTTTCATGCTATTCTACCCGAGGCTTCATCCAACTCCTCTTCGCAGAGCTCCGACATCTCCGGCGAGTCGATTTTAAATAGCAGTCCTGGACGAGATATGCCACTGGATTGCATTTTGGCCATCCAAGAGCATGCAAGCGTAGAAAGAAGAGACACAGAGAAAGAGTGAGCACGACGGACAGAGAGAGAGAGAGAGAGACAGAGAGGCTGGCAGCGAACCACCGGGAAAGCAAAACATCAAAACAACAATGCCCTCTCGTTGATGCTAACCTCGACGGATGTGTATGAGTTTCATAGTAACAAAGCATGTTACTTGTATGTACCGCTATCACGGTGTATGTTTTCATCTGCATCGAGCCATCTTATGGATCTGCTCCAGGCTTCACTGCAGACAGAAAGGTAGATGAGCAAATAAGGCTTACGGTTTAGGGTTTAGGGCTTTAGGGCTTCGGGTTTTAGGGTTTAGGGTTTAGGGTTTAGGGTTGCTCCATGTTGGTGCACATCAAACGGTTTCGGCTTGGGATTTCGGGTTCGAGATCGGCCGGGTGGCCTGCAATACTCTTTCGGAGGACTGGTTCTGTGTAAGTTGGTCTGTTCTATGTCGTGGAATGTGAGTGAGTGAGTGAGTGAGTGAGTGAGTGAGTGAGTGAGTGAGTGAGTGAGTGAGTGAGTGAGAGGGTTTCAGGGTTTAGGGTTTAGGCTTTAGGCTTTTAGGGTTTAGGGTTTAGGGTAGAGAGAGAGAGAGAGAGAGTCCTTCCACTTCATATCAATCCCAAATCAAACGAAACCTCGAGCCCCGAGGCCCCTCCAACCGAATCATAGGAGTTGGTGCCTGATCTTGTCGGGATATCTGTACATTATAAGCATGAAGGGGCCTATAAGGAAATATACAGCCACCAGAAGGGAATAAATCGCCCCTAAACCCCAAGCCCTAAACCCCCCAAAATAGCCCTTGAACCCTAAACCCTATACCCTAAACCCTAATCCCTAAGCCCTAAACCCTAAACTTCCTAAACCCCGAAAGAACTGCAATCCTGACCCGCCAGGGGCCGCCAGACGACGCCTTTCTCCCATGCTTCCATGAAGCTTGGTGTGGGTTTAGGGTTTAGTGTTCAGGGTTTAGGGGGCCAGGGGTCTAGGATATTTAGGGGTTTAGGGTTTAGGGTTTATCGTTCTTACCCTGAGGGTCCAAAGGACCCAATAATTGGGTACTGTGGTTGCGGGTAGGAGTTATCTAGGTCATTATATTTGGGAGAGTATATGATCATTACGTACTTGGACCCTTAGGCTTAAGGGGTCTAGGATATCAGGTCAACTGCTAAGGATGTTTTGTGTTTTGTTGTTTTTTTGTGGTATGTGTCTGCCAACTTGTTCACAGACTTCCCGTAAACTGCCCTAAACCCTAAACCCTAAACAGGACATTCTTCTCTACCCTTCCTAGCCGAGCCAGGAAAGAGTACGACAAAAAGATCGGCTCCAAGCAACAGAAGGCGGAACTCTCTTCAACAATAGGTTTGGAGTATAGCAGGGCGGAGGTGTAGGATGTGAGTTTTGCGGTTTTGGTTTCTATGGGGCTTGGGGTTTGGGTTTAACGCTTATTTAGGGCTTATTATGCAGGGTTTAGAGTTTAGAGTTTGGCAAGTTGCGTGTCACACGCCTCCCTTCTAGGCAGGGATCTCATCATCACGCATGCCAGTGTCGAATCCATGCCCCCAACATCCCGGGACCTTTCGCCCAAAACCCGCCGAAATCTGAGGATCCAAATCCCTCTTTTGTTGTGCTGACAATTGTAAGTCCCTTTTAGGTCTCTTCAGAAGATTTTTTTGAAAACCCTGTTACGGAAAACCCTACGCCCTAAACCCTAGCAAAGGAAACGGGTTCGGGGCTCCCTGGAAATAGCATTGCGCATAATATAGGGGCCTAAATAACTACCAATACTATTTTGGGGTTCATTATTATATTTATAGTATGGTATACCCCAGAATCCTATTCTAATTAGTAAGGCTCCTACAAAACAATCAGACTCGAGAGCTTCGAGCCACTTTGACACTGAGAGCCTTACCCTAAGCCCTAAACCCCGAAAACCCAAAACCCTAAACCCTAAACTCCCCAAACCCTAAACCCTAAACCCCCAAACACTAAACCCAAAC